GTGCCCAAGAGCTGGGGTCACCATCCAGAGTTGAGTCCAGATTGAGAGGCTGGGTGAAAGCCTTCGACTAACATGTTGTGTTGTGTTCTTGGGCAAGATTAATCAAGCTCTTTCCTACAACAGTCTACCCTAAGTCACTTCATGGTACTACACTGTACAACAAAACAGAGTTTTACAGTGCTAGCATAATGAGCCACCAGTGATCTCTTCTCTCTAGGGTTTAACACAGGGATAATGAATCCAAGGCTGTGGTCTAAGAAAAATATTATGAGGAGCCCAAAGGTTCCTAACCATGACATCCTGTGTGCCCAGCACCCAAAAAGTCAGTTTTTCCGATCACCTAAAGGCAAAAGTTAGTCGCCTGTGGCATCCAGATGTTTCTAGAGCACAGCCCTGATGATGATGATGACGATGATGATGATGATGATGATAAAAAAGTACATGGAGGTTTCCAAAATTAATCCTCTGTTATCATTCACCTGGATCATCACACTAGGCAAACAATAGATACTAAATGTTCCTACCTTTTGTTTGAAATGGTTTAACTGCAATTTCATTATCTGCTTCCAGAGATGACCATCGTATTTCTTCGGCCTTTTTCATCTTCAATTCAACCTGGAAGTTTGACCAAACCTGAATTAAGCGATGGCCATATAATCACTTCTGTTTGGTGGTTTGGTTTGGTGGTCAATAGATCAATAAATTTTGCTCCTAGTTTTCTTTTTCGTGTGCCATTGAAAAGATATTTCTAATATGCATCTTTTTTGTGTACCATCGAACATAGCTTCCATGTCTTTTTCATTTGAATTCTTCAGTATTAGTTGCAAGTCATTGATGGTTATTATTTTTATTTACCCTTGGTTTTACATAAGGCTTTTTAGGCCTCTAGCATGTACTTCTAACATTCTTTAATTGATGAATTTATTTACTCTCAAGACTTGTTTGCTTGAAAATGTCTGAATGTGGTATAGAAAAACTTTATTTTGATCAAGTGCCAGAGAGGTATACTTGGGTATATCACAGGGTATTTACCTTTGTAGACATGAGTTTTGTTTTACACTGCACAGGAACGATATCATGAGCAAGGTCAAGCTCTAAGCTGAAGTCACTACCACTTGGAAGCTTCACTGTAGCACTCAACTAAAGTCAAACAACCACACATTGATCAACTTTGTACATTGATCGTCTTTCTGTAAATATTCATCAGCAATTAGCATTGATTAGAGTTTGGTTAATAAATGTCTCTTAAATAAGTTGCAAAACAGACTGTAACCACCTAAAGAAAAATGGCATTTACATTCTAATAGCTTAACACTGCAGTTTGTATAACATGCAAGAGCAAGCTACCTGATTTTTCCGTCCCTGAAAAACCCAGATGCTCTTGCAGGCTACAGTTTGTACATGTACTAAGTCTTATATCGTAGAATGAATGATAAATGCTAAAAGATTGTGACTATACAATTGCAATGGTCACATCTTCATTTGTTCTTTATTTCATTTGCACTCTCAGTGGTAACTTACTGTTTTGTCACCATATTCCACATTGACACTCTCTTTTTTTGTATTCTTGATCATTAATGTTACAATAACATGGGTTTCTGTTTGGTACCAATCATACCTGTAACAACAAATATAACATTGTCATTGATTGATTGGTGGATTAGACAGACAGAAAGACATACAGTCAGGCAGGTAGACAGACAGACAGACAGATACATGTAGATCGAGGACCGACTGACAGAGAGATGAACAGACTGATTCTTAAAAACAATAACACAGTCACAAAAAAAGGAAGAAAGAGTGGAAGAAATTATTAAATAAATTAACCTTTGCTGCAGTCATTGAACTCAGTGGAGATAAAATGTAATAATTATTGAGTTTAAAATTATAAGGAATTCCCATAATTGTAGTTTCAATTAACTTGTCTTTAGAACTATTTCATGTTAAGTACTATAGTATGTCAAGGTACTGCTAGATTTCTGCTGTATTCTTAGGGGAAAAAAGCAGTATCTTGACACAGTAATGTGAGACAGAAAGACAAGTTATCTTGCACTTCAAACTTTTTGGGTACTTTTTAAACTCTGTCCAAAAGTAAGCTAGCCCACTTCCTTCTGAAAAAAAAAATACCCAAGAAAAAGTCCTGCCCAGCATCCAGATGCTTCACAACTGTAGTCTTTAGAACTCTACCAACTATGTGAATCACTATCATCAATGGCTTTACCGTGGTTTTGGAGCTAGTGGTTTAGCCTGAAGTTGTTCCTGATTAGACGGATCAGCAACAGTAGAAACAGAGGGAGACAGATTGTTAACAGATGATGAGTCAGCAGCATTGCCAGCTGCCTCGTTAACTGGGGTCTGGCCATTAGCTTTACATGCTGCCTTGGCACTCTCATCTCCACTTGCAATACCAACCACAACCTACCGGAATGTAAAACAGTTACACTGTTAAGAAATTCACAATGAAAGCTAGAGTGCCTTGAATGTCACTTACAGTACCACATTCCCAAATATGTTTTAAAACACCTTCTTTCTGGTTTCTGGTGCTAACTCAAACCCAAATTAATTTCCCCTGGACTTCTGATATGCATTTACTGTAATTTTACCATTGGAAACTCAAACCCTCAATAACTCGAACCTCACACTAACTCAAAGCAATTTTTCAATTTACCTTGAATGTTTGAGTTATCAGGAGTTGACTGTAGTTATTTGTTTCAAATTAAATGGTTCTTAAATTGCACAAAGGAAAATCACAACTGGTTTATCACTTTATCACCAAAAACATGACATGGAAATATAAGTAGCAACCTACATGTGCATAATATTAATCATGGCTAACAATCTACCGATAATTTCAGCCATACCGTTTCAGTTGAATTTGCTCCAAGTTTTGCTTCATTTGTTGCCACTAGTGAATAATAAGTATAAGAAATCATTATTAGTACTTTTCCTGAATAAATTTAAAAGCCACTGAGACACTGACAAATCACAATATTTTGTGATAACCGAGTTCAATAATTGTTTTATCATTTGATCACATTTAGTGATAACAACATTATTGTGCAACAAACCCATGAACCCATACAGTATCCTTAGTGCTACCAGCAGGCTGAGGAAGATACTTGTTAATGAAGTCCTCACTAAAAACTCACAATCTAGCTCAGCATCACACTTTCCTATCCACATCTGTAATTCTTTGTTTTCTCCTGCAAGAGAAAGGCATATAACAGGAATATAAAGATTTTTAATCCTTATTGGCCACCTTGGCATCATAACAAGCAAACCGTGAGGCAGAAGAATTTATTAACACCAAGGTAATTCCCTCTTCCTCAAAATAGAACTAATTAAATATTGTGTTTTGCTTACTGTCAAGTTTTAATGCATCTGAAAATGCCTCTTTTGCTGCTACAAAATTCTTCAAGTTAAAAAGAGCCACTCTGTGAATTAATAGGAGACATAGCAAATATTATTAAAAATAATTGCTACAATTATTTTATATTATTATGAATACATGTTCTTGAAATGGAGTTGTTACAGTTGTGATGTAGTTTTATAACTTTGCCAAACAACAATACAAATCAAGAGAAATGGTAAAAATTTAAAACGATCTCTGGCCGAAACGATTAAAAAATTAGAAGTTTTCGATTGCCTGAACTACAGTCTTCGATCGCTCAAATGTGAATGACAAGAAACAAAGAAACAGAAAAAATTTCAGTAAACATGAATGGAATTGCAAAATTTCAAAAATGCAAATTATGAAAAAAAGAATGTTATATTGTCCAGGTAGTGGACATGAATTGTTTTCTGCATTGAGAGTCAGTTTGCTATGCCACGCTTCCAGTGTCTTTCAGTGATGTTTGGTATGTTACGCTTCCAGTGTCTTATATTTTCAACAATACAAATGTTTACTTCTCAGCCAATGTAGCTAACCAACCAGAACATAACATGGGCTTGCAATTCTTACAGCAACACTACTGAGTTTTTCTTACCCTTTTCTCGTATGTGCCTTACAATTTTCAGGCTCTAAACTGGCTGCTGAGGAGGCATCCGCTGCAGCAGCTGTTTGTGATATAAGAAAGAAAAATGATTCAAATTTCAATAATTAATTTGTTGCACTTGAAATATTTCATTCCATTGAAAAATTGTGTCCACTGATTACCTTGATAATTTGTAATCTTCATAAAAGCTGCTGCTCTTTTCAAATAGAACTCAGCATCGTATGCATTCAGTTCTATGGCATCTGAATATTTCTGCAAAGTAAGATCAAGATCTGGCTGCTTTTAGCAATGTCCCACATAACATGATGGCTAAAATCATCACCCTTTTGCCCACCCTATCCCCCTCATCACCCTTCCCCCTACCCGTGACCCTCGCCACCCCAGCTAAGGTTA